AAATAACTGTATCTGAGGAACGACTTATAAAAACGTTACGGCTTTTTTTTTTTTAATCCTTAAAAAGGCCACTTTTTAACATCGATTGTACCGTATCGTTCAAGTAAATTGAAAGTCAATATGTGGATGCCGTACCCTACAATAGATAATGGCGCCGTCTTTAATTGCTGCGTAATGCGTAAAAGTTCTATAATGACTTTGTAGGATACCACCTACCCATACTTTTTTTATCTGTTTTACACGAACGCGCTTTCAACCAAATGATTACACGCTAGAATTGACTAGAATTGAATGGAATAAAGACACATACAATTTATATAAAATTGAATCGATTTTCGAGTCGATAAATTTTCAAACTTTTCGTTGGAATTGCCTATACGAAACCCCTTAAATATCGATAGAGTGACAATTTTAACAGACTGAACGCGTTAAAACAAAATCCCATCTATTTTATGAATATACGATAAAATGATCACCTGAATAGATAGTCGAAGCAATTCGAAAAATTGTTTTATACAATATTTCCTTAAATATTTACCCGATTTAATTATACCTCTATTCGTGTCAGATGTTAATGAATCACGACAAATAACAATTTTCGTTTAAATGTTTCTGTCGCAATAAAATTCATCATGCAATTATATTAACTTTAGAATAATTACTTTGATATATTATTGTATTATTCCGTTGTGGGAAAACATTAAACATTACACACAGACTTATTATAATAACCTTTGCTGTTACATGAGTTGTTTTTGTTTTTTTTATTATACACCGTGTATATAGCATATTGCTCATTTTTTATTTAAAATCGCGCTACAGAATGAATTTCACTTGTCGAGTAAAATAAGCGTGCTAAAAAAAAAAATACATTTTGTGTACGGTGTTATATACCGAACCATAAAACACAATTTTATAATATACGTATATATAAATGTATAGGTAGGTACGTATAATAATTTAAAAATTAAAATTACTTAAATCCTCCGAAATAAAATCTTACCGCGAAACCCTTTTAAATTATTATTGTTTTCTATACGCTTTTAATTATACCAAAAATTTTAAAATCCGTAAAACAATGAGCGTATTATTAAAAAAATAAAATACTATTGTTGATAGAGAAAAAAAGACGTACTACTACGCTGCAGAGACCGAAAAAAAAAAAAAAACAAACAAAAGCCGTTCGAATAATAATATTGTAAACGGTTTTTATTCGTGAATAAACGGATACATATATATATATTTTTTTAAAAGTCTTTCTTGAAAAACTTTTGTATTATATTCACTTTTGTCGCGGCAATCCGATTTTATTATTGGTATCTTATCGTAGTTATTTTCGATAAAGTGCACTAAAATATTTTTCAGTGATCAATATAATATTGAATAATATTATGCGTTATTCGTCGTTCTATGACAGTTATTTTGACGAGCAAAGACTTTTGGGAAGGCGGTGGACCAGGTCCCGCCTCGTATAATATGCGTTTTCCCAAGACGCAGTAAAAAAGGACGCGTAAGCTTTAGGACCGAATATGAACGATTTTGACGACGATAGATACAGAGATAGCTGAAGGTTCGGTCGTGAGACGGGATGGCCCCGGAACCCGAATAAACCCAAATAACAATGATAATACTGTAATCGGTTATAAAAACTTAATAGAGTGGAAATCAAGATTTTTTTGTGCATCCGCGTCAAAATTTCCTTTTCAAAAACATTGTTAAGGTTAGGTGATTGTTATCGGCCTGTTACGTTACGTTATATTTAATTTGTATTATATAATATGGTATAATAACACATTAACGGATTGCTATTTTACTGAAAGCAACTGTGTACATATTATTATTATGACGGCAAAAACACTGACAGAGTTTTGAATGCCAGAAAAAAAAAAAAAAAAAAACAACGATTGTATCAGTGCGATAACAATAAAATACTCTAAAATAGCCGCGTTATTCGTGTCTAAATATTATAATCAAAGATCAAAGATTAGCTGAAAGTTTTGTTTAATCGTACAGGCGGGTAATAATGCTCGCTACTTGCATTACGTAGGCAAGTAAAAATAAGTCTGCCGCAGTAAATGGTAATAATATTTTATAAAATGGTTTTTACTGCGGCTGTAGTGAAAAAAAAAATAATAATAACATTGAAAAATAATATCGAATAAACAAATACGTTCAAAGTTCACGTTTCAAAAAACTATAGTTACTTTTATAATGGTTTAATTAAATTCTCCGTAGATTTCGCCTATTCCCGTACACAATACCTGTCTATTTAAAATAACAATATTATTGTAATGGTTTTTTTTTTTTTTTAAAAATAATAAAAACGCAATAACTAGGTATGCTGTTGCGTATAATGCCAGCAAATTAATTTAGATTATTTTATTAAATCGCAGCCATAAAATAAACGTTTAGAAAAACACGAGAATTATATTTTTTTATGTACCTAACCCGTAAGGCTATAAAAAAAAAAAAAAAAAAATTTAAATACGTATAATAAATTATACGCGTGATATTAAACATAAATGTTATTGCAGCTTTTTAAACGTTTCGAGTGTGAAACAAACGGCAAAAATACAATTGTCAAAAAACGACAATATACTGCGGTAATTTTAGCATGTGTTATTATAGAGCGCGGATTCCGTGCCGACCGCATAGAATACCGACACGTGTTTTATCGCGGCAACAACGTTGCGTATACGTTTACGCGGTCCGCGCGGAAACAATATCGTCTCGCAAATAATTATCGCGTTTGAACGATTTGTACGCCGGAGAGCAGTAAATGTGTCAGTTTAGTGGCATTTACCGTCCGCCATAAATATATCGATTACAATCGTTTTGAAAATGTACCTGTGAACGACGCCGGATTAATTCGCATCGCGGCAGCATTTGGATTCAAACCGAAAAAATTCCAAACAAAATAAAATCAAACGCCGGACAAAAGAGCGGTATAAACGAGAGGAGCAATACGGCCGCGGAAAATGATTGAACTTTCCACGAATGACTCGTCCACCGGACGACTATAGAAATTGTTTGCGAACGGATGCTACGTCTTTTGACGAATCTATCGCAAGTGTGCGAAATTACCTGTATTTCAATACAGTACGATTGACTCGACTGTGCAACAACCGTGTCGTCATTGTAGCTCGTCACTCCACGTGTCCAAAGCCAATATACGGTAACGCGGGAAGCTATTTCTGTCGACGAGAGACTAATACCGTGAAGAGAATATCGCGTATTGTGCAATAAACGTCCGACCCAAGTTCGATGTCTCCGGTATATTGTGCGATTCCTTCAATGCCTATACTAGACCGTCGATAATATCGCGCAATATTACCGACCGTGTAGGGGCCGCGTAACACGGCGCAAACAGCACGTTCACGACCCGGGCCATCGAACGTCCCTCGACTGAATATCGGGCAATAATATCGAGTGGTTCCGGTGAAACGAATATCGAACAAAATATCGACACGATTTTATCGACTCGATATTATTGATCGCGTAGGCAGGCGGCCGCTTCAGAGTGTGTGTCCGCCGCCGGACAAAATTGAACGGTTCGGCGAAACACAGCCGCGATGCATTTACACACCACGCCCGCGCACTATTCACGTCCCGCGTCGGAGACGATCGCAAAATGCAACACTGCCGTCGTTCGCACGCCGTGCGCATATTATCGGCGATTGTTGATGACGTACGGCAGTGCCGCGGGTATACGCACCGTAATGCCGATCACTCGGCTACTTGTATTTACATCGACTTACTGCAGTTGTCGTCGTATCGCGTTTTTGTCGTCGCATTCCCGCGTGAATTAATCATGCGTTTCCCGTTTTGAACACGTTCGCGTACCGTAGTTACCGGGTTTTCCGCTCGCGCGCACCGCGAGTTAAAATTATTGTAATACGGACCGCATGATTATTTCGAATATTTCGAACCGTAGTTCTTGTTTTTTACAATGGCCGATACGCGAGTACGTGTGTGTTTATTGTAATTGCGAGAGTATAAAATAATCAATTTACAGCGTTTACCGGTGGACCCGGTAGCGAATTGATGGTTCTCGACGAAATGAAAAAAAAAAAAAAAAAAAAACAATTTGCTTGTAATTTCCGCCAGCAGTTTATCGTGTACTTTATAGTGCGTTTTTTCATTTTTCTTTTTCTTTTTTTTTTTTTTTTTTGATTCTGAGTAGTGAAGAAGCTATTGTGGTTTTAATAAGATGTGTTTTTTATATCTCGAAAAACATTTTTTTGGAGGTCAATAAAAATGATTATATTTTTTGTGCGAGGTTTTTTCTAGATGGTACTTTATTTAAATAATTTTTATCGAAATTCACAATATTTTGCGCTTTATGTTTTTTTTTTTTTTGTAAACTCCTTTGGTGAGTTAAATGACAATAACTTAAAAGACGCAGAACTTTCGTCCAATGATATTTAAAATGAAACACCTTTTGAAATTGTCTACAGTACCCTAGGTTCTTCTTTTAGAAAAACACTTTTACAGTTAGTAAAAATGCTCAAAATTATTCCCATTTTATACTAAAATATGTGCTTTTGTCCAATTATGCTTTATTTGAAAAAAATTCTATTTTTTTTTTTATTGGTTTCTGGTGGTAACCTTGGCTATAAAAGGGAAAAAATAAGACTACTATCTATTGTTAATACTACTCCACTTATAATCGTTTTTTGATCGTAATGATTCATCGTTGTTTTTAATACACAAATTATAAATTATCCTATAATATTCTACACTTTTAAAACGTCCCACCTGCTACGATAGTGATCTACCTATGGTGCAAAGTACATCCGGCTTTTTTTTTTATTTTTAGTAGAAAAACATAAAAAAGTGTCATTTATCGCGAAGGCAGTGGATTATCATCGGGATTGTTCTCGATTAGTATAGTAATACATATATTAATCTCCCGAGGAACGATACAACTTCACGCGCCATCAGAAACCAAAGCGTTAAAATCGTCTCGAACATTATTCTTTTGAACGTATTTTATAATTGAAATTTTTTTCTCCCCTCCTATACCCATATATCTATACAGACTTCCGAGAGATTTATACTGACCAGACAACAACGATCTGCAACTTTTTCTTATTCTCTTATCCCCCTTATAAAAATGTACTCAGGCGCTCCTTTAACAGTTAACAACAGTATAAAATCTTTATATTTTTGTCGTTTAAAATAATGCACGGGTTTTGTTTTTGTTTTTCGAGAAAACCTCTTCGGCTATTGATAGCGGTGTATTTTAATCGCCCGTACGCGGAATAGTTTTTATTTCTCGCTCGAAATTCTACCGTGACAAGTCCATCAGAATATCCTAACTCCCAGACAGTGTAGAGTACAAATATATAGACTATGTACTTATCAAACAAAAACTAAGAATTAAAAATTAGCAAAGTATTTTGCAGAATACTGCATGTTTCGTCGAAATTAAAACTTTTTGCCTCCTACCAGGGTGCCTAATTTATATCGGATTCGTTCGAATGGTAGAAAATGTGTGTCGCGAGATTTTTCTAACGTAGGTATACGATATTCCCATCATCAGCTATGCTATATTATTTAATGTACGGAGTATATTCTCCAGGTTTTATAAAAATGTAAATACATATATGCAAATATTATAATGGTATACTGTATAATATACTCTTAGAAATTTTGTGGAAAACCGAGAAATATCTTCTTCTTAATTAGATTCATCGAGGCCCATCATAACTGCAAAACAAACTTCTTTCCGCGTCTCTCTATTTAGTGCAACTGCACTAAGTCGTCTGCAGTTGTTCTAATTCTCTCTTTGTATTTATCGAACCGAGAAATAAATTAATATTTTTATCAATTTATTTAAATTATTGTTTTAATTTTTTAATTTCGTGAAAATATCAATTTGTATCAATTCGTTATCACTGATAACGACCCTCTCCTTCTATTCTAATGACAAAAAAAAGAATATACACCTACATTTAGGTAAAAATTGGCGTGGTATACTTTCGCATACAAATTTATGGGAACATCGCTGAATATTAATACTCTTTTTTCAGGCTTTATGAGTCATTTTGATTCTTGGCCACTAAGATTACATCTTTCCACCACACTCTATCATAAGCCTGTTCTTAGTTCACTCCAATTTCATCCAATAGTGCCTTGACGCTGTCTTTCCACCTTTCCCCGGTGTTTCTCTTAGTTTCTTTCCCTCATCGCTTATGTTATAGCTCCTTTCAACATACATTTACATCGATCCACCGAGAATGCTCGTTCCATCATTGTGCTTCTGGTGAATTGTACCACATAATATTCTCTTCTGTGCAGCTGATATAGTTGAGCGTTAGCTCTCATTTCCCATTTCTGTTCCGTATTGTTGAATATGAGTTCATATATTTTTCTAAGACCTTTTTTCTCAAATAGACGTAGTTTTCCTCATCACCTCTACGATCATTTCCTCCTCGTTTTTCCGCTGTTGATTGTTAAACCGTTATCTTTTCCTATCTCTATCAGTTCTTCAACGGTACCCTGGATACCCTTTCGTGATTTCCCAATATGGTCTATGGATACTATGTTGTCTATATTTGTTAATAGGATAGCTCCTCCGTCAAGGTTTAATGTTTCAGTTCGCGTTATTTTCCTTATTACACTCTTCAGTGCCACATTGAAGAGTTGATAATGTTATAAACGTAAAATTGTAGGTAATACTCATGTATAATATACTTTAAATTAATTTAGATTTTTATAAAACCCATACAACTAAATGGAACTATATTTCACGGACTTGGAGATAAAATTATTTTTTCTGAGTATCCGCTCATATCCAGACTAAAATTTAAGTAATAATTTCAAAAGAATATAGAATTATATACTGCAGTATTCCTTTTACTAATGATAATTATTGCCGTTGTTCATTAGTGTAAGTAAGTATATTCGTGTATAAATTCTAATGCGTGTTTGTTTGATGTCGGTATATCTATGCAGTATATATGTAGGTACCTACTTAAAAAGTATACTTAATATCTTATACCAACTCGTATAATACACAACTGCACGGTATGCTATATTATGTTCATCACACACGTGTTATTATTATGAAATACGTTCTTGTTGAATATTATTATAGTAAAAGGTATAAGAAGGTGAGTACACGGTTTTTGAAAATCTTGCATGTACCACAATGTGCTCCGGCACACACGTCGTCTTTGTTATTGGGTCGTAACTCGTAAATTATTAAGATCATAATACAATATAATAGGTATAAATCAACATTAATAATGGTTACGAAAAGCAATAGAAACTACATCCACGCTGGGTGTTAATAATATGCACGGTTAAATATTTTAAATAAAACGAGTTCTTTTATTTTTATTATTATTTTATGACATTTTTATAAAACCAAAAAATAAACGGATATGGACGATATATGGTTAGTGTCATCATGTGTGTTTATTCGCCAATGAATAAAAACGTACCTGAGCAATAATTTTAAGTAAAGTACTATTATACTTGTACTCATAAATGTGTCGAGAATTCTGAATGTGACATAATATATTTATATTTGGATCTTTTTCATATAATGTGATAATATGTTATTTTCAAATTATTACAGCGTGGCTGAAAAGAGAAATTTAGTTTTTAATCATAATTTTACTATTTCCATTTACCTAATATATCCATTTGAGTAACATCGATCCAATAAAATATTATTATAAAATAAATAATTTATAAATAATTTTATATATAAAATAATAGCCACAGGTATTCAGAAAATGGTTAGTGGAAACAAAAATTCTTAAGAGGTTATGTACGAATTTTTTTCTTAAATACTAACTTGGATTATCGATTATACCTGTAAGATTTGATTTTTTATTTTCCAGGTATACATAACAAAAACTTTCGTTTTCTGTTTAGTATGTATAAAAAAAATAATTATTAAAAAAATCAAACCAACTCCTGTTTGTATGTACGCGTAAACTGTTGTTTAATTGTAAATTAAAACAAATAATAATTTTTTCAGTCACAGTTATTTTTTCGTAAAAACAAATCATTAATATTATTACAAGTATTTTGAGTAGTATATACAACAGGCCTACAGTACTGCTTTTTCATACCGATTTGAATGAAAATCAATGGTGACGATTTTTATAGCCAAAAAGTTGTTTCTTAAACAGTGGGCATGGACACATTGCCGGGGAAGCACAAGCACTTTTATAATTATTATTATAAGTAAAAAATATTCACTACAAATATTGTACATAGTTTACTCATAAAGTATACCAAAAAAAAGTTATCGATTTTTTTCAGTTAATGAGGGGCTTGACATTTTTGAAATCTACCAAGGTAGCCTAATAGAATCTAAGAGGCTGAGAACCACTGATTCAATAGGTGAAGCGCATACGGACGGTCAAGTGTCTAGACAGACACGGAAAAAATCATAAAAAAGCTTACGCCATTTGATTAATATACAACTAAAATTACTTAATTTTAATTATAATTGCGTGTCTTTTTATTACAAATTGTATTAATAAAATACGTCAATAAAGTTTGTTTAATTAAATGTTCAAATTAGAACATAATAATACAGAGGTTTTTATTTCGATTATTAATATTCGAGTATATGAAAAATAAAACTATAATTTAATGTTTGATGTTGATTTTTCATAATACGAATATATTTCAGTTTTTGTAATAATAAACGGATGATTAAAAAAAAAAAAAAAACAAAATGTAATTATTTGTAAAAGTTGCAAGGAGTACAAATAAATGCGTATTAAACCTGTTTCGTGAATTTTAGATTTCAACCCTGAGCGTAGTATTCCTATATGGAACTGTTGCAGTGAATAACTTATATATAATTTTCGTTGTGTTTTGTCTGTTGCGACTTTCATTGTTAACCTAACCTAACAGTTGTAACAATACCATATTGTTAGATTTGTATAAAATATAAAAATGTATTATTTAACGAGTGTTTTTTTTTTTAGTCGAGAACTATTAATGTTTCATTGTCTGATATATTTACTCGTATATAATACTGTTCTGATATTCAAAGCAAATTGATTACATTTCCCTAATATAAGTATATTATTATTTCGTACAACAACGTCGCGTCTATTCCATTCATTCACCGACCGCCTTCCCCGAGAAGCTCTGTTTATATTGTAATGACGCGCAAGTAAATGTTGCGAGACTTGATCTGCAGTGCGTCGCCAAATGCTATTATTGAAAAGGCGTATTAAATTATCTATGTATAGTATGCACTCGACAGTCTATTTCACAAATAAATCTTGTTTTTCATACTCAGCATTTTCATTAGACGGGGGCCCCCCCTCTAATATAACTATCTGAATATAACGATAACTATACACCATGCATAGTTATAGGTTTAAAATCATATATTTTTAGGTAGGCATTGATACAATACTTGGTACCTACTCCTTCGACCAAGGTCAAGGGGAGGATACGACACTATCATCCCTCCCTAGTGGGTGCGTCACTGCATGGTTCATCGCGTGATATTTGACATGATTTTTTTTTTTTTTTTAATCGAAATTGATTGTAAATACACGCGACTTATAAAATAATATTCCAGGTAAATTTCTGTTACATATTTGTTATTTTATTTGTACTATACATTTCTAAGCGTATAGTGAGGAATAGTATAACGTTTAGTGGCTTTACAATGGTGTTTTTTTTTTCTGTCCTTAAACCACTTTTTAATCAGAAATTTTGCTCAGATTATTAACTGCTATAGAAAATTTCGTCTGGTCGGTGCATTGGGGAACTCATTTTGATTTTTATTGAAGTTTTTCTAATTTTTGGATTTTTCGGACGGATAGGTAAATGTCTGACGGATCTTTATTTGCTTATACAGTTTACATTATTCGTATATAAACAATATACATATAATACATTATTCATAATGCATATGTATATTAATAATGGACAATATTGTCGATGAAGAGAATATTTCGCGGTAGAACAATAGGACAATTATTAAAAATCGTACTTGCGTCATATTTTTATCTATTACAACCGTGTATAGTGACTGTTGAATATAGTGAGAAGAAAAAACAATAAGACTTTTTGTGCACATGTCCCTACAGTATATTATATATGGTTTGAGTACATAATGTATAAAAGTGCACTGGTCCGAAATGGAGAAAAAGGGATTTGGAAAAAAAAAAAATGAAAATTACAAACTAGTGTACCATGTCTGATTATGCAAATGGCGAAGTTGTGTCCGGAATATTGTTCTCGATCTAGCGGGGTATAGACTTTAATCTCAGTTTTCCTCTTGGCTGATTCCCACTCGATGCTGCAGTGCTGCTACGTGAATAAACTTTAAGAAAAATATAATTTGTCTCGATACAGAAAAATACGAGTACGCGTATAAGCATACGGGTACCCGGCAAACACGGAATGATTTTTGAGAAAAGAATTCTGCACGGTTTTTTATTGTGTTCAACGCAGTATAAAACTATAAAACTATAGAAGAAAAAAAAACGAATTTTGTGTACACACATTATAATATACGCTTGTTCGAGGAGTATTTTCATTTGAAAAATAATGTTTGAATTGAACTCGTGGATGCAAAATAAAAATAATACTTAACTACATATATAAATACTTCTTTTATTTACTAGTGAATTTACAAAAAACGAGTAAAATTAAATTTATAAAAATAAATGAACACATAAAAAATATTATAGACATTGACCTGAATACCAAATTTGAATTAAACATAATATAATATATATATATATATATATATATATATATGTATATGTATATAGGCGAAAAAGATTATACTGTTTAAAATATACCGACATTTATGTGTAATATTAAAAATGAGTTGATACTATTATAGGTGGGTAGTTAAAAAGGTGGGATACATAAAGTTATTTAATTTATACTTGTAACCAATAATAGACATTGCTAACGAAAAACGATTGTGATCACATTTCGTTTATATATGATTTGTAAAAGGCCGTAATATTTACGAACAAATTTACGTCAAAATTATATTTAGAAAAGGCAAATATCATATTTCTGTCAAAACTTCAAGTATATTTTTAACTCAATTAAAACAAAAAAACAAAATTTTAAACAATAAAATAATTATTTTCGTAAATATTCCCGGTCTTCCTACGTTTTTTTTTTTACTGTTTTTCCTATTTATTAATAAAATTATTGGTTAAATTAAAAAAAAACGTTCTTACTTACTAACTAGACTAAAAATTCAACAAAAAGGTCTGTTATTGTTTTTCTATTAGAGCAGTATTTTTTGTAGAAAACCTAAGTCGTAAAAATTTAAAATAAATGAGCGCTAAAATTTGAAAAAAAAAATCGCAATTTTTAGTTTTTTCCAATTATTATGCAAAATATTTTAGATATCAAGAAACGACTTTTATTCAGCGGCTATACATTTAAAGGTATAAAATCAATTTTATGTTATTTTTTGATTGGAGCAATATTTCTAATAGAAAACATACATTGAAAAAATTGAAACAATGAAATCGGTAACGCCGCGGTGCGCAGTAAATATTTGTCGTTTTTACCTGTGATATTCTTTCTGGTTTTATCCAATTATTTCAAAAACCCCTACGAAAATAATCAATCACCGTTTTAATGCACCAACAAAATTTCCTTTCAGTAAAAAGTACTATACTCGGAACTATATTTCTAGTAGACAATTTGTTTACGGATACAAAAAAAATATATATCATTGTAAAACCAATAGATCCCTCGCTACTATCCGAAACTAAAACTTCAAGTTTTAAAGCAATCGTGCAAATATTGATTTTCTCGTAAACACATTCAATAAAGTGAAAAAGGATTTAACGAAGACAGATAAAAACCGTTGACTCAAAAAACATTTTTCTAAAATATTCCTATACAGTTCAAAAATTACTATTTCCGTTTATGTGAAAAATACAATATTACTAGACGCCCAATAATCACGGACGGTGTAACGTTGATGAAACATAATCCGTTCTGGATTCTAATTCGATCTCAATTCGTGATTCGCGATCGTAACGGACATAACAATCAGCTCTGGACCCAGAAAAGCGTGTCCCCCGACACGAAGCGTGTTCCGCGAAAATCCAAGTGCACCCGCCGAAATGTATGTACCGAATTTAATATTGTATGTATTCGTTTTTAATGTAGAAATGTTTTTGAAGATGATAACGGTCAATTAATGAGATCACTCTATCCGATACATTGGTATTTATTTTAAATTATATTATTTTAGTAATATTGTTTAAACTTTTACTTTTTTTGTGTCGATAATTTTTAGTATACTTATACTTTTTACTTATTAAGGTATAAATATTATTAATGTATAAGTTATGTAGTGACATTATTGTTTAATGAGCTACGTCCTGCCATAGGTTTTTTTTTTTTTTTTTTTTTTT